CGCCAAAAACGGTGGTGAACCACTTAAAAAAGAAGCACCACTCTGATCTACATTATGTGCATTATTATTATAAAACATCATTGAATCATTTCCATAGACCAGATTAAGAGCATTACCCACCATTTCCGCTGTTACGGGCTGTCGAAGACCCAACATTTATCAACAAAAACGTGAGGACACGCGTTAAAAAACGTACCTCGTAAAAAGTAGACGATAGAAAATATAAATTTACTATATGTATACACAGTAGATGTATATATATATACCTATAACAGTACGTCTTATCTGTACAGAGTTGACGAGGAGAATGAGATCAGAAAATCATATTTGTTCTAGTATTCAGCTGCCATTTTAGAACACAAAAATTTTTCAATCTATTGCACTCTGTTGCGCGCTTCAGATTAAATTCCGACTACGAACTCATCAAATCCATCCTAACAAGAGCCAGAAAATCAACCAATATTTTTTGACTATAGCCAGCAGACCTTTAAAGGAAGTGAAAAAATATCACACACAGCACTAATCACGTTTTGTCACTTAATATGAGTTAATATCCGACAACATTGATGTTTCGAACTATACTAATACAAACAGCCTTATCGATAATTTTGACTAATTCTTCCGTAAGGTCATATAAAATCAGACACAATCTTAATTAATAAGGAGTCTATTCTATGTTCGAAAGAAGCAGTGCTCACTGTGACTTTATACTATATTCTACCAGCTTCGCGAATTAAAACGAACATAATTAGAATATACACCTCTCGGATTTTTATTTCAATTTGGACTATACAAGTTGTACTCTACGCCGAGCTATCTATCACTTGTGCATATATGCACAAGATAGATAGAGAGAAATTTAACCTTGTTGGTTTCTTTAATTCCCTATCACGATGGTGATGGATGTGCTCGACTCAAAATAGGACTTAAGGGGGACACTCCCCCTCCCCCTCAGGGAAATTTTTTTTTATCCTACATTTAATTTCGATGGCGCTTTCGGTGACTAATGCTTACTGTCCTATTAGCTTATGCTACTAATTCGAGATCGAACCGTTGAAGCGCTGCCGAGTTATTGCGTGACAAGGGCAAAATGAGGCTGTTAGCAATAACGTAAAGGCTTTTCTGCTGGAAGGTGCAGAAAGCTGCGAGAGGTCTCAAATAAAAGTAGACACCTAAATCTAGAATTTGATCCGCGGCGATTTTGGAATTTCGTTTCCGTTCATTCCCTGCACGTATTTTAAGTCAGACCTCTGAAAATAGCCCTAATTCGGCGGAGTATTTGCCACTTATCTCTGCACAGAAAACAAAAATCTCCGCGAATCAAACTTTAGATAAATGTCTTAGCTTCAAAATAAAAAAAAATGAAGGTTTTACGACCAATGGTCTACTCCCAGGTCAGAGAATCCTATAATAGGCTCCTATCCGATCCTGACATAGGATCTTATAGGATCCTACGCATTCTTGTTAGGAAACACATGTGTAATCTGGATATAGGAAAGCCCGTAGGAATCCTACAGTAGGATCCTGAAAGTTCCTATCGTTCCCTGTGATAGAATTATGCAAGATTTAACAGGATCCTACATAGGAATCCTGTATTATCCTCTAGGAAGTGGCAGGATCTTCTGGAAGTTTTGTCAGGCCGTATTGATCCGACTCCTCTCGCTCATCTATTTCCTATTCTTGATTGTATGAACATGTCGTCATGTTCATTTCTGACAATATAGTTTTGTTTTTATTTTCGTATGTGTTCCATTTTAGAAATAAAAATCAGAGTAAAGAATATCCCAAAACGATATGATAAAAGCAACAAAATCGCCATAACTTTCATAAAACATTCCACAAAGAGAATTTCGTTTGTTTCACGAAATCAGTTCTACTAGATCAGTAACAATCCTCGTGAAAAATCGAAGGAAAACAAACATATATAAACAAAGAGAACGCGCAAAAACCATCGTTTTGTTGAAAAGATCATACAAGAAAAGTAGAAGATAGGAGTAAAAAATATTTAAGCTTCTGTGCCAAATGTTATGTACAAACGAGAATACGAAAAAGAGAATACATGATTTTTAAAAAGACAAAAGTCTTTTGCACAGTACTCTGCAATAGTAGAGTCACCTCTGTAACTCAAGAACCACTATGGATGAAGACTTTGAATTTTGTGTGGTGATGTCAAGTTTAGCCCCCTTTGACTGGATGATTCGGGAGATATAAGCGTTTTATTTCGTTTTCGTAAAACGCTAATAACGTCTAACCAAAGAGCGATGAAAATTTTTGAAAATTTGTGAATTTCTCGAATCATACAATAGTTAACCTTCAAACTTTGCGTGAATAGACTAGAGACATTTTAGAGTATTTGATGCAATTTTCAAGTGAAAATTATGTTAAATGTCTTCAGGGTGCGTCGATTGAGCACAGAAAGTATTTCTGTAAAACACGAAATATGTAGTAAAAATAAGCAAGGAAACCACTTTTCAACTTTTGAGATCAACAGAGAAAACATCTACAGACGGATTAGTGTCAAGGAAAGTTGACAAAAAACTACGTTAAATAGTGCTGACTTAGTAATATAACCTAAACTATTTCAAGTATCGTTGTTTTTTTTACACTAAGACTGCTTGACTTGGAAGCTCATGCGTTTTTAGAAGCGATAGTGCATTTCTTGATAATGATCGTACAGCCAACGGATGCCGTTGCTATGGACTTCGACGTTTTTTTGCGGTCGTTTTTCCTTGCCTTAAATAAATTGCAAAAGTATCGCAATCAATAATTATCCATTCAAAATAAATTTGAGCAGGGGCAATTCAAAATG